ATTTAGAGATATGCTCGGGGGCGTTTAGACTTATTTGCTCGGATGATATGTGACAGCCTCGGATGACGATTCAAGAGCACGATTTGGGGTGACGACCCGAGAGCGAGCGTGAGACTCCCTGGATACCGTAGCTTGAAGGCTGGGGGCCTAATAGCGAGCTGGTATGACTTGAAGGATGTGACTTGGGAGCGAGGGGAGTAGAGAGACTTCCTGGATACCGAAGTTTAAAGGCTGAGGCCTGATGACGAGCCGGTATGATTTATAGGTTGAGACTTGGGAACGGGGGAAGTAATCGAGTGTGAGCAAATAGGGTCTAGAACGTGGGTATATTGATTATATAGAGCCCTTAAATGGGTCAGTTATAGGAGTGCGAGCCAAGGTGTTGGTTGCACGGAATCCTATACTGATGGATCGTGATTGTGGATTCCGGGACGAATCCATGTTAGTGGGGGAGAATTGTAGCACCCGTGTCTTGAAATCCGGGTGGTGACACTAGTAATTTTTGGTTTGACAGTTTAAGTTTTAAATCATCGGTTTGATTGATGATCGGTTTCGGGAAAAACCTTGGTCTTCTAAAAGGATTAATAGGCGCCGTTTCTCTTGTTTTTCTTCATTATATCGCTTTGTGAGTTTGAGAGAAGAGAAGAGAGTGAAAATTGATCCTTTGGTTCCTTTGAGTGAGTTTTTGGAGTGGTTGAAGCTTATTTTTGTTGATACAAGGCTAGAGGAGGCTAGATCCGTGGTGTGTGGTGTTAGGAGAGCTTGTTTTCGTCCTTGTTAGTCTCTGTTTCGTTGCTGTTCAGTCCATTTCAATGGTGAGTGCAGGACTAAGGCTTATCTAAGCAGTTTTGATACATGTTTTGGTGTTTTCTTTGATTGATGATTGATTTTCTTGCTTGTATGTTCGTTTTCTATGATTTGGTGTCTTTGGACGAGCCTGAGGAATTGTTATTTCGGCCATGGTGTGGAAGGAAGGGGAGATCCATCGATGAGAAGCGACTATAGCAAAATTAGGGCTTCAGTGTTGATCGACACCCGTGGCGTGTGTCGATCGACACCAAGTTCCTTCTTGTGACGACGGTCACGGGTGTCGATCCACACTACTCGTTAGATTGGGTTTTATATTAATTGTTCATGGATTGTTTGATGATTGTGTTGGTTAATGCTTGAATGCGTCATTATTGCTTGTGTGTATAGCCAGTAGTGGGATGATTGCCTCACTAAGCATCTCTTTTTGTGATGCAGTTAAAGGAAACATGAGATCCGTGGAATCATGGCGAGCAGAGGAGGATGATCTAGGGGCCCGTTGTGTGTCTTTGTAACAATGTTTGAACTGTTAGGATTTAGAAACATGTTAGGTTTTTATTTCTATTTATGGATGACGACTGGTTTGGTTATGGTTGAAATGTTGGTTTAATGCAACTAAATCATTTTGATTATTTGGTTAAGTCTTCCGCTAGTTAATGCTCATTGGATTGGTTTAATTGTGAGCACCTGGTTTAATTGTTTTGTTCGGTTTAATTGGTTTAATTGATTAGGATCGGTTTAGCTGGCTTAGTTAGTTTAAATTGATTAAGACCGGTTCAGATGGTTAGTAGGTTTGAATTAATTGGGTTAATCCGGTTTGTATGGTTAAAAAAAAAAAGGGAATTTTTTCAATTCTACCACGATTTATACTTTATGTTTTTGGAAATACCACGATTTCCAAACCTTACCCCATATACTATTTTTGACACCTGAATATACTATATTAACCCTGTGTATCTTCTTCGTCGAACTGACAAAAAGGAGGAAAGAAGAAAATAAAAATAAAAGGCACCGACAACCTTTCGGTTGATTGGAAAACACAGTACATGTGCATTAATGGTGGACAAACATTTTAATTAACTAGCTATGTAAACATCTCCAGTTAGAAAGGAAAAAAACAAAATTAAAAACGTGTACGAACATTGCAAAGAGAAAGAGACAGATAAAGAGAACTATTGAAGGATAGAGATGTTCTTGGAAATTTTGATTTTTTGCGTTAAAACGTTAAGGAATCTGTGGACAAAGGATTGAAGGCGGTGAACTTGAATTTATAAAAGGTAAGTAAAGATGCATTGATTCATGTGGGTATTTATTCGGAACAAATCGTAGTGATTTATTGTAAGAAATCCGTGGACAGAGGATTGTCTATTGTCTACGGTGTTGTCTAACTTTCTTGATGTTTCGTTTGTCTATGGTTTTGTCCACGGTATTGTCCTTGTTGTCCATGACATTGTTCTTGTTGTCCATGGCATTGTTCTTGTTGTGCACAGTGTGGTCTATCTTTATTGTCTATTTATCAAATCTAAACCCTAACAACATATTTAAAAACCCAAACCAAAATCATTTTTGTTTAGTTATCAAATCTAAACCCTAAATAGTAATTTAAAAACCCAAACCAACAAATAAAATGCTGAAATGTTTCGTTTGTCTATGGTTTTGTCCACGGTATTTTCTTTGTTGTCCATGGCATTGTTCTTGTTGTCCATGGCATTGTTCTTGTTCTCCACGGTGTTGTCTATCTTTCTTGTCTAGTTATCAAATCTAAACTCTAACAACATATTTAAAAACCCAAACCAAAATCATTTTTTTTGGTTATCAAATCTAAACCCTAAACAGTAATTTAAAAACCCAAACCAACCAATAAAATGCTGAAATGTTTCGTTTGTCTATGGTTTTGTCCACGGTATTGTCCTTGTTGTCCTTGATATTGTCCTTGTTGTCTTTGGTATTGGTCTTGTTGTCCACGGTGTTGTCTATTTTCTTGTTTAGTTATCAAATCTAAACCCTAACAACATATTTAAAAACCGAAACCAAAATAATTTTGGTTTAGTTATCAAATCTAAACCCTAAACAGTAATTTAAAAACCTAAACCAACCAATAAAATGCATAAATGATGTTTGTTTACGATGGACATATGGACATATGGATAGTTAGTCTATGGACATAACTAGTTATATATACGATGGACAAAATCTTATTTGTGAACACCTTCTCGATTAAAGCAATGTTCGTCGCTCTTATTTTTCATAGTATAAAGAAAGTTGGTGTTTTATGTTAGTAAAAAAAAAAGAAATAAAAGTTTTGTTATAATTTTATGTTATTATATTTTTCTTCTTTTGTGTCACAGATCTCAGTAGGTGTGCATGTGTCCTATCGATTTTGGCAGACGTGAGAAGAGGGCATAATAGTCCAAAAAAATTGGAAAATGTTATTTGGGAGAATGCCTTCTCAAAAATGGTATTTTGAAAATGATGGTAGGAAAGCTAAATTTCCCCAAAAAAAAACGGGTTAGGACTTTTCAGCGCACTCCTTACAAGAGTACAAAACGATTGAAAATGACATAAAGAGAGAGGGAAGACTCCTCCTAAGGCATGATAGTGACCCGTCCATGCTTTGATATTCAACCCATGGACCATAGCACACACATGACTCCTTATTCTTCTTCTACTCGCAACGACTCTCTTTAGAAGAGTCTAGATGGTGCTTTATGGGGCCTTAAGAGGCCTTGGAGAAACGGGTTTGATCCCCTCTTGAGTTTGGACGAGACTCGGCCCGTCATGGTTGTACGGACACCCGATGGCTATCGTCTGTCTATCGACCCTCTCTTGCCGAGTCTCGACTCCCGGTCGTCCATTCTTTGTCTCTTGTCGGATATCGACCCTCTATTGACCGAACACATCCGTGTCTCGAGCGAACACGTCTGAACACGGCCTTCTCTCGACCATCCTCGTCTGACTATCGACCTCCCTCGTCCGGCTCTCGGCCACATTTATTCAACTCTTGGTACTCAAGATATTTCTCGGTCAATAAAAGACTAGCTAAAGAAAATGAATTTTCATGTAGATAATAAACGCAAACGTTAAAACAACAAATACGAATCCACATATCGAAAAACAAAAACCTTATCCACAGAAACATACATGCACAGCCATGTTTCGCAAATTCACCTAAATGCAGATTAGTGTTTATTACCTCTCTTTTGTTCGTAAAAAAATAACTAAACGTCATCTGTTTACAACGTTAAATCTCAGCTGCACGTTTCTCAATTGGTAGTCACCATCCGACGATGAAAATCAGTAGTACCAAAATGCACGTTGAGAAGAACAGAGTAGTAATATCGTCATGAAAAATGACAAGAAGTACACTTTCCCTCAAAAATGTGTTTTGTTGTCAAATACTTTTACACAAAATAGTTTATAGTGTAAATAACTCTTATTTATATCAAAAGCATTTACAGAGATTTGGAACTATAACGTTTGAGAAGAATAACGAAGAATATCTGAAGATAAAATACCCAAAAATATTGACCATATCCAAATCCAAATAATACCAAAACACACAACACCTAAACCGACTAACTCTGGGTTAACGATTAGGCTTTTGTTTACGTACGTATGGGTCGGTCATGTTGCATGAGCCCATCATAACTTAGGATATCAATCATTGTATATGTGTACACATCTTGGTTACGAAGGCAAAATATAAAACTAGTTTAAGTCTTATTAACACAGAAAAATAAAAAATATTCCCACATCTTGCGTTTATCTAGTTCCAATTATTTTAGGAATCTTTGGTCAGATTTGCACGTTTTTGTTTTGCACCATTCCATTAATCAAACTTTATAAAGACAAATAAAAAATAAAAAAAGCACTACCAAAAAAAAAAAAAAAAAAAAATAAAAAAAATAATCAAACTTTATCTTCTCTTTAAAAAAAACAAAACCCAACCACTGGTTTTTTTTTTGTCCGACTTGATTATTACCCACGAGATCCTTAACTTTCATTCATATTAAATTACTATGATACAAAAAATAAAATTTTAAAATGTGTAAATAATATTATTCTTTCTCCAATTCTCAACTCCTATAAAAATCTATGATGATTATGAAACTATACTCATCAAAACAAAGGTCTTATAGCAACTCTTCATTTCACATATTTTGCTATACCTTTAACAAAAAAAAGAAGTAACAATGGAGAGACAAAAAAGCTTGGAAACAAGTTTACTAAGGAAGAGTCAAAGCATAAGAGAGAAGAAACATACAAAAGAAGATGTTTTGCTTAGAAAGAGTCTAAGCATAAGAGAAAGGAAAGCCCCAAACGACAATGGTTATCTCGAAAACGGGTTTACACCAAAGGGACATCCAAACAATAAGGAATTTCACAAACATCAAAGTGAAGATTGTGAATCTTCTGTTACAGTTTCTGTTTGTATTATCACCTTTATCGTCGTCACTGGTTCTTTCTGCGTTGGCTGTGGTGTAAGTACACTTTACTTTCATGTTTTTCGCATTCAGGCTAAGTTCTATTAACTTACATCGTTGATAACTTGGATTACCTGTAACAATCTCGCTATACTATAGACCTTCAACTATCAGTTTCTACCCAATTTAGAAAGTTTATAAAAAATATATAGTTACTTTGTTCACTTATGGTTATGATAACTTTATGGTAAAAACTTGAATCACCATATATCCCCTTAGATCCGAAACCAAAGCATGTTATATGGTTTCGTCCCAAGCGATACTCGAACCGGCGACCTATAAGCTTTTGCCAGAGATTTTTACCAATTGAACTATTATCACTTGGTGGATCACCAACTTATTAACGAAAAACTACGGTTTAAGCATCATAAAACCGGTTTAATCGACTTGGATGTATCTGTTTTTGCAGATTGGTTTTTCATCGGTTGCTCAACACGGAATTATGAATGAATTATCTCTTTCCGTAGCAGAAGTAAGTGTACTAATATGAGTCATAGATACTTAACTTAAAAATATTATAGATGTAATTATGTAAACATATTTTGATGTGTTTACTTGTTTTACAGTATTCAATGTTCGGGTCAATTATGACACTAGGAGGACTCATTGGTGCAATATTTAGCGGTAAAATCTCTGATGTTTTGGGAAGAAAACGGGTTAGTGATTTTTCATACACAAAATTGTAAACCGGTTAACGAATACCAAACCGAACAATACTAATATAGTTTTTTAATTTAAATAAATAATTTGGAAAACAGACAATGTTATTTTGTGAAGCCTTCTGCGCAATAGGCTGGCTCTTTATCGCATTGGCTCAGGTTTTTATTTTATTTTATTTTTGTTTGTATTTGCTTCATTATTATACGTACAATTTTAACATTATCCATGACTATATAATATAAAATTATGTATTAATAATTGAAGGATGCGTTATGGCTTGATTGTGGGAGATTATTACTTGGAATCGGCGTTGGTATCTTTAGCTACGTGGTAATCAATTAAATATCTAACTTCTATCCGTTTTAAATTCAAGATTGTTTCATACTTACAAACTAGGTTCGGACCCGCGCTACAGCGCGGGGGAAATAATTACGTATATACAATCTTTAACGGATTACAATATGTTCATTTTAATGTTATTGCAATGCAGTCGATTACGGTGAATCGTATATTTATATAATAACTTTCAATAAAAATAAATAAATGAAAAGCGAGTAAATAATAATACATTGAGTTTTGATACAACTAAAAAACAGTGAATATTTATCGACAAATTATTCAACTTGATCATTTTTGTAGTAGAAGTAGGAATATATATAGAAATTACATACTTACAATATATTTTTTGAAGGACCAACCCGTTATAGAATTCATTTTTTTTTAAAAAAATTATTCATAACTCGCTTTACAATTATAATTGTGATTTTAACAAAATACCCGCAAACTATCTAAAATTTACATAGTTTAATATGTAATATATTTTATCAATATAAATTATGTCTCCAAAATTACATCTATGTCTCCAAAATTTTTATATATTTGAACCTTTTAATTATAATATTTTAAAACTTTTGAAACTTTTAAATATGCTCATGTAACAATGGTTTTAATATTGGTCATACTTATACTGATTTTAAATCATTCTCCAAAATAGTATATGTCCGTTTTGAAAAACTCAAATTGCAATATATGCAAAAAAAATAATTCAATTTTTATTAAATATTTTTATTATATAGTATAATATCATAAATTAAAAATAATAGCAAATAAAAGATAAAGAAGAATAATAATTGTTTAGTTAGAGATTTATTAGGAAATCATAAAATTAGTTATGGAAATAATATAATTTGAAATGTAGATATGGAAAGTATGCGATGTATGTATCCAAATCCAATTTAATATCCAATTTTAAAGTATCCAATTGTTAAAATCGGGTTAATTTTTTAATTTTGACCCGACCCGATTCTGTTTTGTACTTCTCTTTTACTAATATAGGGATTAGAAAAATAGATACATATTTGGCTTTTTAATTTAGTAAATAAATGAAATAATTTTTAATTACTTATGACATATATTAAACAAAAATGATAGTTACATTGAAACAGAAAATAAGTTTATTTATCAAAAAAAAAAAACAGAAAAATAAGTTTAGAATAATAACTAATTTAAAACGGAGAGAAAATGTTTTATTGCAATTTCTAAAATCAGTCATTATATATATATTTACACAAACTTATATTAATTTTGTTATGATATAGATTCCAGTATATATCGCGGAAATAGCACCAAAACATGTTCGAGGATCGTTCGTGTTTGCCAATCAGGTACCGAAACTAATTTGATTTTTTTTTTTTTTACTAATTTAAATATTATTTTCTTTTTGTAGTTATGATTTATTTTACCTTACTGAAACATGTTTCAGCTAATGCAAAATTGTGGGCTTTCACTGTTTTTCATCATTGGAAATTTCATTCCATGGCGAATACTATCAATAGTTGGTAAGAATCCAATTAAGTATAAATTATTATTATATGAATGGATAATTTAATAATATTGAAAATTTTAAATCGATCTTGTGTTTTTGTTTTAAGGTTCAGTTCCATGTGTTATTCACATCATTTGTCTATGCTTCATTCCTGAGTCTCCAAGATGGCTGGTAAGTCTACTCTAGTTGCTCACTAAATTTTGTTCTTATTTCTTAAGCACCTAAAATAAAATCTAATTAAGTAGTATGAAAAAACACAAGAAACATAATTTGAATATCTGTTTTATACATATATAATATGTATATCTCTATTACACATTTTTTACGTAATATATCTCAAAATTTCTCTATATTTTGTAGGTTTAATCTATATTTAGAACTTTAGTAACTATTTTTTATTCCGCTTATATACTTCGATATATCATAATACTTTTATATAGTTCTACTGTTTATATATATGTGTTTATATATACACCGGGAAAATGGTGTGACTATTTTTTTTTTAAAAAGAAATTTAGTGACAGTACACAACTATTGGAATCTTTGGCACAATATAGTATTTTATTGATTAATGACATTTTTAATCTTCCCACAGGCAAAAGTTGGACGTGATAAAGAGTGCAGAGCTGCCCTACAACAACTAAGAGGCCATGACGTTGATATTTCACATGAAGCTAACACAATTAGAGTAATATAACAATTTTTAACTTCACTTATTATTGACTTTATTTAATAAAATCATACTGAGTAGAGTTTATTACAAGAGTAATCCTAGGTTTATAAACTTTGATCAATTCTTATTAATTCTAGGATATGACGGAAATTTCCAAACAAAATGGTGAAAAAACTCAAATTATGGAACTGTTTCAGAGGCGATATGTATTTCCATTAATTGTAAGTATACAAAGGACTTACAATTTTATTTGCATTACAATTTTTACATGATCAATTTTACAATATAAATCTTACTGATGGATTATAATTTAATTTTCATTTCACAGATCGGAGTCGGTTTGATGCTCTTGCAACAACTCTCTGGCAGCTCAGGAGTTGTCTATTATGCTAGTAGTCTTTATGAAAGAGGAGGTATTGAGTATAAACATTCTCATATTGAATATATATTTTATTAACATATATATTCAATATATTTGGTACATTTCATTATAGAAAAATTCTCTCTAATCACCTTTTTATCATACCCTTTTGCTAAACTACCTTTTTCTTGCCATTTTCATTTTTGCTCTCTCTTAAATTTTAATGATCATTTTAGCCATAGTTGAAAGAATATTCCTTTCAAAAAATTTTCCACCAAAAAATTTACGTCAAAAATTTCCCGCCAATTTTCCGACAAAAGTTTCTGCAAAAACAAATTTTACAAACTTTTTCCCGCCAATATTTTTTTAAAGGGTATACAAGAATTTTTAAAGGGTTTTTGAAGGAATTTAAAAGTGTTTAAAAATGGTTTTAAAAGATTTGTAATGGTTTTTAAAGGGTTTTAGAACCTTATATTTTTTTGGAATGATTTTTAAAAGACTTTATAAGTTTATAACGGGTTTTAAAATATTTACAAGGATTTTTAAAAGATTCGAAAGGGTTTTTAAAAATTTACAAGGACTTTTAAGGGATTCTTAAAGGCATTTACAAGGATTTAAAAATGGTTTTAATAGGATTTACAAAGATTTTTAAAGATATTTTACAAATAATTAAAAATAGTTTTTAAGGATTTATAAGGGGGTTTAACGGGTTTTAGAAGTTTACAAGGTTTTTAAAGGGTTTTTAAAGCATTACAAGGACTTTAAATTGTTTTTAAGGATTTAAAAGGGGTTTTAAAAGTTTACAAAAGGTTTTTAAAAGGTTATAAGGGGTTTAAAGGGATTTACAAGTGGTTATAAATGTTATAACATGATTTACAAAGGTTTTAAAAGGTTTACTAAAGTTTTTAAAGGTTTTGGATAACTTTTAAAAGATTTACAAGTGTTTTTAAAGGGTTCTAAAAATATTTATAAGGTTTTTTAAAAGTGTTTTTAAGGAATTATGGCGGGAAAAGTTTTGTCAGAAATCTTTTTGCGGAAATTATTTTTGGCGGGAAAATTTGGCGAGAAATTTTTTGAAAGGAATATTTTTTTTTTGTTGGAAAGAATATTTCTTTCATCATCATGAGTTATATTAAAAGAGTGTATTTTTGAAAATGGAAACCATGAGAGGATATTTGTACAAAAGGGTAACCTAAAAAGATTATTTGTGCAAATCCCCCTTCACTATACAATATGTGTTCAATATATTTGATACATTATACTTTGGTTTAATTTGTTAATCGCTAATAGTAGCAAGCAATTACAAAATAAAAGGCAAAAGGACTATTGGTACATCTGTAATGGCCACAATCATGGTAAGTACTAAGAGTATAATATTTACAAAATAAATTTGTATCAAAATATACTTACAATTTCTAATAACGATAATTCTTTAATTATTCAGACCTAGATAAGTTTTCCATATTAATTTCTATCTCCAACTTATATTGTTAATAGCTTTATTAGATAACAAAGAGTTGATGACAATAAAAAAAATAGATAACAAAAGCTCTAATTGCAACAATCATTGTCGATAAAATGGGAAGAAGAACTCTTCTTATGGTCAGATATTCATTCAATTGAACTTTGATTCATATTACCAAAATATATAATATAGTCGTCCTAATAAAAAGTATTATTTTGTTGTATAGGCTTCTTGTGCTGGAATGTGCCTGTTTGCTTTGCTCTTAAGTGTTTCCTACAGCTTTCAGGTAAGCAAATGAATATGTTATTAACATTTTAAAACTTTAGGAGTATATTATTTCCAGATACATATTTTGATTGATTAGAAAATGTTTTACAAGAAGAAAAATAAAGGGGAATTCTCTTAAATACCACTAAAATACTGTATGTAAATTTTCCAAAATATCATTATGAAGTTTACTTTCCAAAAATATCACTACTATATATATGTTTCCAAAAATACCAAAAAATTAAAAATTATATTTGATTATTTAAAATTAATTTTTAAATCTTAAACACTAAACTATACCCTAAATGTAAATAGTCAACCCAAACATAAAAAAAAATCTACTTCTTCAAAATTCAAATTTTCTTTTATGTTCATGTTAATTTTGGAAAAGTAAAACTTTTGTAGTATCTTTAGAAAGAAAAAACTTTTGAGGTATTTTTGAAAAACTAAAAGTTGTATTTTTGGAGAAATAACTTAAATGGTGGCATCTAAGGGTATTTTTCAAAAACAAATGAGTTTTTTTTTATATATACTGTAATTGATTTATTCAAGTTTAACATAGGTAGATTTTTCAGCTACTTGTAAGTAAAATTTATAATAAGATCTCATATTACATTTATGGCATTTTTCAAACGGTCAATAGCAATATAGATCTTTACAAATTAAATAATTTAATAGTTCTTTAGAGTTTGCTTTTTAATTTCGTTTTAGCATGTTTACCAACTTTTTAAAATTTCAAACAGTCATTGGGCATTCTGCCTGAACTCACTCCAATCTTCACTTGCATCAGCTTACTGGTAAATACACTATTATTACAATAAATTCTTATTTTATGAAGATAATTTTAGGGGAATATCTAATGTTTGAATAATTTTTTTTGTTAGGGTTATGCTATAACATATGCAATGGGAATGGGAGTACTACCATGGATTATAATGTCTGAGGTATCACAAAAGAAGCATATATATTTCATAATTTATATATAGTGAAAAATAATAGTAACATATTTTTAAATTATGAAAACTTGTGATTTTTACAGATATTTCCAATGAACGTTAAAGTTTCAGCTGGAACCTTAGTTACTGTCACCAACTGGGCAATTGGTGGGGTTATAACTTTCAGCTTTAATTTTTTAATTCAGTGGAGTGCATCAGGTATTATTATTATTATTTTGTATCGTAATACACATAATTATTTTTTAACATTTTCATTAAGGGAAAAAAGCTTAAAAATACCTCATCTATTTTTATTTTGACGTTTAATACCTGATCTTTTTTGGTTGGAATAATAATACCCAAAATAATAAAAACGTGCAATTTAATACCTAAACTATTAAATATTGACATTTTCCTACCTACGATCTGACAAAAAATTTAATTTTCCAATTTTACCCTTCTTCATTTATATTTATTATTAGTGCATAAATGACATGAAATTAATTATAATTTTATAGATTTAATTCAAAATATATATTTCATTTTTTGTTTTAATCCAAAAATTTTTAAGTGATTCAATGAAAGATTTATTTTGAATTATATATTTAGTATCCAAAATATATATATTTCATTTTTATCCAAATATATATTTTTTAAGAAATTTAATGAAAGATATATATATATATATATATATATATATATATATATATATTGAATTATATATTTCATATCCAAAAATGATATGTATATTTCATATTTCATTTTTATCTAAAACTTTTTAAGAGATTCAATGAAAAATATTTTTTTTTGAAATATATATTTTATATCCAAAAATTGTATTATGTTTATATCCAAAACTTTTAAGAGATCCAACGAAATATATATTTTGAATTATATATTTCATATCTAAAAATGAATATTGAAGTATGAAATATATATATTTTTAATTAAAGATATACAGAAATATTATAATAAAATAGTAAAGTAAAATATTTTTATGCATTGATAATAAAAAGAAGTGAATAAGGGTAAAATTGGAATATATTTTTTGTTGTGAGATCGTAGGTAGGGAAATGACAATATTAAATATTTTAGGTATTAAATTACACGTTTTTATTATTTTAAGTATTATTTTTCCAACCTAAAAAGATCAGGTATTAAACGTCCAAATAAAAAATAGATGAAATATTTTAAAGCTTTTTTCCCTTTTCATTAATAAGATATGTCTTGTATTTGTCAGGAACATTTTTAATTTTTGCAATCGTCTCAGCCGTATCGATTCTATTTATCTATTTCCTAGTGCCTGAGACAAAAGGGAGATCACTGGAAGAAATACAAACATTGCTTTCGACTTCAACGCACTGATATCGATCAAATTGTCACTATATCTTTATTTGCCCTTACAAGAAGAATTATATATACATTATGTAACGTTTATGTAAAAGTTTTGATGTATTGGGTAAGTAGATGGAGACTTTAATTGCTAAAATAAAATTATGTATTGGGGGAAAAGTATAGTAAATTTTTATAAGGCAATAAATTTTCTACCAGTTTTGATCGATCATCAAATATATTAAAAGGTTTGAGAAATCAGATTCATCCGTTATCGCTATCGGCGAAAACTAGAAAGAAAACGACATATGAGAAAGAGAAAAATAGAAACAACACGAGATTTGTTGTTTTTTATGAGTTATTTTTATTTATAGTCACTTTTATCAAAGAAATAACACAAATAGTCACTTTCTTAAACTTGAGAGATATAATAGCACAATATTGTTATATTATCTAAAATGCCATTTAAATAAAGATGATTTACCAATTAAGTCATTTTTAGTTTAACCTATATTAATTAAGTCATTATATAAGAGTGCCCAAGTGTTTTAACTATTCGCACACAAAACTGACAAAAATAGCCTCATAAAACTGGACCAAAAAGCAACGAGCGTTTGTGTTGTAGTTAGTTTTGGACAAGTTTAGTTCGTGGGTTATGATTATAGGTATTATTTGTGGATACACTTCTCTATTATTTTCATGTGGAATTTCTCATACTTGTCCATGTATGCATAATAAACATAAACCAACATACGTATCTATATTTTGTTTTACTTTAAATTTCCAACATATGTATCTGTATTAATACGTATATGTATTAATGAACGCTAACTTAATGGACACTAACTTAATGGACACTGCCCATTTTTTCTTTACTAATTGTCACTTGTAGATGGAAATTTTTCTACACTTATAATATGTTTACTAGTTGATGTATACATCCTTGCGTCCATTTTTTTTCAACAAGTTGTTCACTAGTAGATGGACAAATCACTTGTAGATGGGCAAATCTTATCATGTGTGATCAATTAGGTTTGATCAATTATTATTATATGTCCACCAAAAATAGTTATAGATGAACAAATTACCAACCCCAACTCTTTGATCATTTAGGTTTTCATTTTTTTAAAATGATCATACTCAAGTATGTATATCCATAAACATACCATAATTGATCCAATTATCAAGGGATAAATGATCAATTAGAATTGGACAATGTATAATATAATAATGCACTCTTAAGTATAACAAAATGCATCTTAAAATATAGATAAAATCTAACCATTGTGTATTGTATAAAAATTACTATAAAATATGTTATTATTATCTATATAAAGTGATTAATAGGAAAAGAGAAAGAGTGAGAAACAGAAAAAGGGAGAAGGAAAGAATCGAGAGTGATGTTGGGAAGAAGAAAGTGTTTAGTTAAGATAGTTAGCATGGCAATTTATATAATATTGTAGCTTTGTTAGGGTGTAAAAGAACAATATTTTCTATATATCACTCTAACTTTTGAAAGTTACTGATGCTGTTATATATCTGAGATAAGTGACCTTTTGTGCAAATTAACTCTTTAAATAATCTAACTAAATACTTATCATCTCTTCCTCTCACTCTATATTCTTTCCCTTTTTCTCTTTATCTTTCGCACACTTTCTTTTTTTTTTTTAGAGTTATTTTCACATAAGGTAACTTATCTCAAACATTTTACCGAATCAGTAACTTCCAGAAGTTGGAGTGATATATGGAAAATATTGTGCAAATACACCCTTAAAAAGTTTCAATACTTTCTAAATTGCCATGCTAACTTAACACTTTCATCTTCCCAACATCACTCTCTCTCTCTCGAAGTCTATGTCTCTCGCTTTTTCTCTTCTCTAGAATCGTATGAAATTAAATCTTCCATTCAATTGCTTCTCCAGAGATTAGAACATATATTGTCCCTACGGCGAAGAAGCTATCTTTTTCCTTCTCTATTTCTCCGCTTCAAACGTTACTTCTATGTCCGTTTTCGGAAATCTATTTTCCTCAGATTCCGGATTAAGCTAGAGTTAATTCATTTCGCCGTTTTTCTTCTCGATTCCTCTCTGTCCGATCTGTTTCCGATTGTTCTAGATCCGATCTGCCGGATTAAGCTACAGTTAATGGACGCGATCTCCCATTAAACAAGACCCTAACTTGTCCAACAAAGGCTTGTACTTTTGGATTTAAAGACACGATGTAGGCTGTCCAAATCTACCCGGACATAATGTTAAACGAACCATGAAAGAACGTCATAACGGGCCCGACTGGGTGTTGTACCTTTTCATATACTTTGCCATGAAACAACGGACTAATGGGCTTGACTGAGTATGCAAACGGATAGGTGTCCACAATGTGTTGATATATTCAAATTCTCTTCGTAGAGAATTTATTATCGGGGTTGTCCTGTGTTATCTGTCCATCATTCAGTTTTTTTCACGGTCCATCAGTAAACTGATATATGGGCCTAACTTCAGCAGTCCATTTCGCAAAAGAGGCAACTTTTTAACTTCCCTTTCTCTGTCAGTAACTTCCCCAACCCTAACTTTTACCATTCTCGTCGTTCTACCATTCACCATCACTGCCGTTTACTCAACATCACCGCCGTTTACTCAACATCATCGCCGTTTACTCAACATCACCGCCGGAAATTATGACAAGTCTCACCATCACCCGTTTGCTTTTCTTCGCTGGATCTTTCTCACTTTCTGTTGCTCTAACTGTTCCTCTTATTCACGCTCTTTTACTTCGCCGTCTTCATGGCTGGTACCTTTTCTGCCTTTACACCTCTTTGTTTTCCTTTTTATTTTTGACATTTTGTCTCACATTTCTAATTTTTTTCCCTTTCTATAGGTTCTTCTTCTTTGGAGCCATTGTCTTGGGATGGCCAACTCCCTACCCGTCTTTTTGCTACTGATCGATACCCTGATGCAAGACTTAATATCTACTCTAAACCTGATACTCTTTGTTTCATCAAACAGGAGTTAGAAGGGTCTAAAGAGTTTGAAAAGATATTGAATTCATGCTTTGGACCACTTTTCCATCTTCTCGCCAACAGATGTCCAAGTAGCTGTAAATTGATCCACTCGCTTATTTGCCGTCAATTAATCACAAAAAAGAAATACGAGATATGGACAGTATTTGGTGGACAACCTTTGCGATTCTCCCTGCACGAGTTTGGAGTCGTTACAGGCTTGCCCTGCGGCGAATATTCTGATGGATACGATCCTGATGACGACCCCAAGCTTTACGTAACTCATAGTACCCGTTTCCTTCAATTTCGTGTGCAAGTATCCTCCAACCACACCTCTCTTCAGCGCACACGACACTAAAATAGTGCCTTCTTGTAATTGTTTGTTTGAAGCTGAACTGTTTTTTTATTGCAAAGATAGCGAGTGCTATACGACAATCATCTTTGTTTGCATAAACCTTACCTTTGTACAATTCTTCATCATCATCAATGTCCAAATCTGGGACATCGTCGCGTTCATACTAGATGTCTTCATACAAAGGAGGGATATCGAACTCTTCGTCATCCATTTCTTCCAGTTTCCTTGGGTCAGGTTTTATAAAGGAGCGATGTCCCAGATTTGTGTTCGATCATATTTGTGTACCAATTGGCTCATTCTTTTGGACAAAAGTTTCTCCACCTCCTCCAACATTTAGAAGAACGCTATGATCGAACACACCATTCCCCATACACATTACTCCAATTTGTGTTCCAGAATCAGATTCATCAATCTTTACTAAATCCTTGGAATCTCTTGTATCCATAATCTCATCAGCATTCGACCCACCATGTTTTTCATCAAGGAAATTCAACCAGAACTCTTGGTCACATCCACGTGGCCTGACGCTGTCAAGAACAACCTTATCTCCTTCATAAGCATTAGGCTCATCTTCTTCATCAAACCAAAACGAATCTTTTTCATCGTCTTCGCATCTCTGTTTCTTGGCCCTTCCATCATTTTTAATTTTTTCTTCAACCTCTTTCAGCTCAGCCATGAACCCCTCATCTAACGGAGTGAGAACAACCCCCTCTGATCTTGAGATGTATTTTGACTTCGATCTCCCAGTTGATGTTTCTCCTATCACGGCCTCTGCCTCTTTCCAGCCACCTACTCAGCCAGATATAGTTCTCCCACACCTATACCCAGAATCGCTATCTCCCAATTCATCTATTGTCGTCGTAGGAGTTTTGAAATTAACAAACATATTTTTCCCACTATTTACACCATGTGCTTTTAGATAGAACTTCATACCAACGTTCCTTTTTTGGACTAAACAGTTGAGTTTTTAGCAAAAGCTTATATTGAACCTTTTTTGGTATATTACAACTTAAAAGTTACTTATCTTGTAAATCACCCTTTTTAAAAAATCACTTTATATTATTCTTACCAAAATATTTTATATTTATTTTTGTAAAATTCCCAATGATTTTATTTACTCAACATTTTAAAATGCATTTTGCTATATCTTATATAATACACTATCTATTTATATTTGAATACTAGGACTTACTTCGTAGTATACCACGTGTCCATTTTTTGTTTTATAGAGCAATTAAATAAGTTAATATATTAAAATTAATGTACTTCTTTGGTAGTTAATATAAATTTTATGATATTATATATATGTTGTATTTTCTGAATTTATATGTATATGATATAGTATATATGTGGTTGGTTATCGGTTTCTATACGTATGTGTATTTATAGAAAAAGTACTATAAAATATATTAATACTACGTTTGAACCCACAGTACGCCATGGGATAAATTTTATATATTATATTTTAATTCACACTTTTTTACGTGAGAATTTTGTGTACAAATTCAAAAATTCTTTTGAGTTTAAATAATTATTTTTACTTTATTTTTATATATTTCTTATAATTTATAGTTTTGAACCCATGGTTGTAGATTAATTTATATATATTATATTTAGTTTACACAAATTTTACATAAGGTTTTGTGTATAATTTTATAATTCTTCAGTTTACATAATTATTTTTAGTTTATTGATATATTATGGTTTTTACGGGTTTTTGGCCATGATATAAGTCTTATTTATAGAGTTTTATAGTGTTTTTGAGTCTTTTTGAGTCATTTCAGGATTAGGAGCATTTGGAAAAGATGTGCCAAAGGAACGTACGGGGAGAGCATATTTGGTGTGA